ATTCCTGTGTGCTTTATGACCATTATCTCATTCTTCAAACCACTTTAGTAGTGCCTAGCAACTATGTATAACGATATCCACTTACGATGTGAATTGCCCAGGTGCCCACAACTTCCATGCCCAATGTGTTCACACTGTAATATTTCACTCCAGATATGCCGTGCTAACTTCCATATATTCCTTTTAGTCTTTTTTTTTTTTTTGCTAGGTTATTTCAAGCATGTCACACAAAATTGCAATAGTTCAGGTATATAGTATGACCCAAAGGAATAATTTATGTGCTTCATGATAAGGAAATAGTATTGAAGGACTTCAGACAGATGACGGTGTACATGGATGACACTATCACCTTGTCCTTTTTGATGTGGGATTATCCTCATGCCAGTAGTTATTATGAATTATTGTGAGATGTTTGTTATGGTAGAATATTCCTTTAGATTTAATATTGTAAATGGATTGTTGCATGTTAGTGTAATGCAATTGCAAAAAGCTTGGTTAATGGAAACTGAAGTGAATGAAGATAGTGCATAGTGTGAAAATTGTAAAGAAGTTAAAGTTAGAATGAGACATCTGCAATAAATACCCTGAATTTAGAGCAAAAATGTCATGGTGTGAATGCTGTTGCCAAAAAATATCAAACTAATTGTAACTGTGAGAAAAACAACATAACAAAACAGATTAGCGGAACTGCTGGGTGCTTACCATGAAACAAGAATACCATTTCCCTGATATTAAGCTTTCGTTTGTGTATAAGTTCTTCTATTAATAGAATTAATCATCAAAGAATCTCAGAGTTATGTTTGCATGAGGAATCTTGGGTCTCGGATTCCAAGCAGTCAGTGTTTAGATTCCCTCATGTAGAGTATAGAAGATATAGATTATGTAATTTCAGTTTCAGGTGTAAAAACCGAGTCTTGTTGATCTGGTGTATTAATTGAATATTCGTACATGTCTGAATAAGCCTACTTTATGCAAGGCAATTTGATGTATTGTCCTTCCAGATATTGGCAAGTAGTCTGTATAGGCATTCCTCTATTCTAATAGGCTCTGATATGTACAAGAGATTTATATCATAACCAAAAGAAATGAAATATTCATAAGGTTATATTATAACATCAATAGTAATGAATAACTTTAACAGACCAAAAAGTTTTATAGGCAAATTAAGAAATATGTTATGGATATTGGGTAAAGAAAACAGCATATGAGGTCTTTCAAATCATTTGATGTTTGAAGCATTTTGGTTCTTCTTTTAGGGTCTATTATTGAACATGTGGCTTTAGTTTTACATTATCTGAGTGACGTTAACTGTATTGTGTATTGCTGGCAATAAATAGTGTCTGATATACAGCTGGCCCAATTTTAGAGATGTAACATAACTCCATTTGGATGTTTATGGATATCCAGAAGAACTGTGTTTGCTTGTGGATTTATTTCTTATGATTTATGGGACATCATGGCTATCCCTAGGACAAAGGGCTTGTGTACTGCTATTATCAATGTTTTCAGACTGTCAATAATGGATATAACAAACTAAACTATTTATTTGCATTTGGCTAAAGTTTTCAATTATATGATGTAGTTCTTCTGTGGCATAAATGCATGCATGATGCGCATATGATGGTATGCTATATATATATATATATATAGATATTATATATATATATATATATATATATATATATATATATATATATATATATATATATATATATATATATATATATATATATATATATATATATATGACGGATATTGTTTTCAGTATGTTTTTATTTTTACTAAAATGAGCATTGAACCATTAAGAGAAGTTTAGAGACTGTATGAAATACATATTCAGTGATAAAAGCACACACACACAATAAGTGAGAGTTATGGCTGTATGCTTAAAGAAATTGCATAATGCAAATCAGTTTTGAACACAGTTTTCTTTTTCTAGAATCTTCAAGATTGTAGGAAATCTTAATGTAATTTTAGGACTGTTAGTTTCAAAAATGCAATGTTCTTATCCTCTTGCATTATTTTGGTATACCAGTTGATTTTTTGCGGTATCATTCCTTAGTAGAAGATTTTGTGCTTCAAAGAGTGGATTCCATAATTTCTTTAAGTATACAACCATTAGAGTGAGAGTGAGTAGGAAAATTTCAGAAGAGTATTCTGAGAATTGATGATGATGATTTTACAGTAATATATGATGAAAGAGCACAAGGAGAATGATGATGGTAGTATGAATATAATGTATCATGTACTATATTTTTTATTTGTTTCAGCTGCACCATGGCATGTGGAGGCTGGGAAGGAGGTGTTGATCCAGGCCAGCTCGAGGCACGCCTAAGAGCGGGAATTGAAGCAGACAGACGCTATGCAGCGGAAAATTCTGCCAAAATCCGTGCCATCCACTCAGCTCCTACCTACGATGAGTTTAGACAGCTTGTGTTGGGTAATGAGATGTCTGTGTTGATGTCTGTACTGTGCTGGAACAACAAGCTATTTTTATATTAAAGTAGTCATTTGATTTAGTGGAATATTAGGGGGAAAGGTGTCTCTTGATATCATCAGCCCATTAAATCAGATGTGACTTAGGGGCTCAGTTCTTATTGCTTATGATATAAAAAAATATATATTTATATAAGTTATACACTAGTCTGTATTCAATATCTGTAAGGAGAGAAGGGTATCCCGCAGCTTCTAATTTTTATAAAGCAGTTGTGTTGTCTGTTTGCATGTATATAGGTGTGATGCACAATTAGTTTGAACTGAAATAGGAATCTGAGGTGATGAAATTGTGTAACCCTTTCCATCTAGGCCCTTGAAATGCCGGAACTCTAGTTTTCATTCTGTATTTATAGAATTCATTAGAAAATGTGATTTTGATGCAATTATTTATTGTGATTTATTGGTTGTTAAGAAACAGGTTAGCAGAGGAGAGAAAAGGCAAAAACACGACTCTATTGTTCCAGACTTTACAACATGTGGTTCCTTGGTTAAAAAGAGTTAAAGAATGTGTCCAGCAATAAAGAGTTAAAAAATGTGTCAAACAATAGTTTTCTGCCACGTTAGCATTATATCTTCATTATATTTGCCTTGAATTGCTAAGGAACAATTTTAGTATCTGCTGTTATATATGAAATCTGCATTTTGCATTTTGAAATATCAGTGTACTTATTTATTTTTTTATAATGATACCATTATTTTTTTGGTTATGATAGATGAGATAAAATGTTTTGTTTTAGGGATTCTATTTTTTAGATCTTTAGGAGAGAACTGTAAATAAATATAGTTAATTATTGATATTCATTTTTTTTCTTAGGTATGGATAGATGAAGTTATGATTTTAGTTTACATTATTTCCTTTATATAGTTGTTTTATATAATCTGTTGTAATCTTTTTATTAGTCAGAATCTGTAAATTTTCTTTAATGAAACAAACATATCAGGAGGTTCTTGATACCAAGGCAAACTACCATATACATGAATTTTCACAGTGATGACTGTGAGACAGAAGTACCTTCTGTTTAGCCTGTGTGTACCTAGCATTATACATCAGAACAAGAGATTTCAGTTCACAGTACCAATCAGAAGCAATTATTAACTTACAAGTACTATGTGTGAAGCTTCCTCATATTTATGTAAGAAGATATGCAATTGTGAAAATAGCTACAAACTCTGGTACCATTTTCAGGGACCCATTTGAAGCCACTTGATCGAAATGACAAGAATAAGGTTCGTCCGTCCATTTGGAACTCCATAGCATCATCGGCAACAAAGAAGTGTAGCAAATTAACACCCCATGATACTGAAAATTCTGTATATCCTACTGATGTTCAGTATGTGAGTACCTATTTGTTTCTGCAAATTTATGCTAAATTAAGAGTTTGATGCAGTTTAGAATCTCTTGTGTCAAAGGTAATGTGATTTATATTCGCGGAAATGCACTGACATAGGCAGGATTTTAGGAAGAAGGGGTTGTGATTGTTTGGTAAGTAAAGTGAACGCTACTACTTTTAGATAGAAAGATCTGTAACACTTCTTATGTATCAACATTGATATTTATTAAATTATCATAGATTTATTTACATTACTAACATCATTATAAGATAAAAGAAAGTATTTCCAAAAATCTAATAAAAGGATTGACAGTGAGATAGGTAATACTATGAATTAGTTCATTGGTGACTAAGTACTTGTGGATCCATTTATGCATAAAGACAGTTAATAAACTAAACTCACTGTGGGGATGGTATGTATATACATGTCCTTGGTGGGAGCACATTAAATGCAAGGGGGCATGGCACCCCTATGACACTCTTGCCATTTTAGTGGAGATCCATCCATAGATATATTACTGTATCATTAAGCATATGAATATTGGTAAACATCTTACATAAAAAAGTTTGTATTTTTGAATACACACACAAATGCGGACACACATGCATACATACACGCATGCATGTATGCATGCAGGTACAAACATTCAAGTGTGTGCACACTAACGCATGCACGCACATACATACAAGTGTGTATTCACACTAATGTGCACACACATACACATGCATACTCATGTGTACACATGAACATGTTCACACTGATGCACACATATGCAAACATGTACAAACAAACATATACATACTTATATACATATATACTTATATACTTATATACATACAAACACACAGCTATAGATATTAATATAAATTATATGTACACTTATACATATAGAAATGTATGCTTGCATATTGATACAATTTTTATTTACACACATATGTACATACTGATTTAAGATGTATCCCAGCATTTATCTAATGTTTGATTGTTCAACAGGATGTAAACAATCCACCCAGTACAACTGAGGGCCTTGTCCAGCTGTGGGAGAGACTAGATCTTGCGGAGAGACTGGAACTGCTGAGGAATCTCACGGCACAGTCTACAGAGAGGTTGGCTGGGGGCTTGGTGGCTGGGGGTCTTTTAGGAGACGCAATCACCACTCTGCTCGCATTCACGCCAACCGTCAGCGATGTCGTCATGGTGGTCAATATGCTACAGGCTCTAACACTGGCTAAAAGGTTTGTAGATAGGTTTTGTTTCTGTGTCTTTAGTTGCTGGTTCTTACATTTTGTGTATTCATGGATGAAGATCAACCACCTTGGATTCGGGTAATGTGACCATCATGTCATGAAAAAAATTTAGCTTGAGGGTTAGGTGATGTGACCATCCCTTCATGGACAAATTTGGCTGAAGGCTGGGATGATGAGAACATTCTGTCATGAGAATTTCAGCTGTAGGCTGGGGTGACGGGAATTACTTGCCACAAGTGTACAAAGCTCTTGGGGCGTGATTAAACTTAGTGTGCATTTAGGAAGTGGCTTTCTCTTGTATCATTTCCATTGATAAATAAGTGTGGAATGTACTTTATGTCATCAGTGACTGGAAGAGTGCTAGATCCAGTGATGACACTATTTCCATGCACAGGTTCCTTTTCCTTTTGGCTGTGGCTTGCAGTGTATTTAGTATTACTAAAGATTGAAAATTACAAAAGCATTTTAAGAATTACAGTAACAAAATATTACTTATTGTTATTGTGTAGAGTTAAGATTACTTGGCGAGATGATATGGAGTCTGTGCAAGGAAAATAGGCTATTACCATCTTAACCCATCAGCAACGGGTAAAAATTTTGTCAAGTTTACGTATGCACCGGCTTGTTGGCGTGCACCGGCAGTTTCCCCTGTTTGCGCCCGGCTCGATCGGTAGTTTGCGAGCGACATATAACACCTAAAAGCTTTTATTTTGCTATAATTTTTAAAGATATTAAAATTTTGAAGGTTTACCTTCACTTTAGGTGCCATTGCCTAAAATCTTTACCATATAAATGAAGCCGCTACTAGTGGAGAAAAACAACCTCCGTCCGACGAGCCAGTAGCACGGGAATGGGCATGGCATGATGCCCCCGGCGTTTGGTCCACAACAGCCATGGCATGTATGTACGTGACACCCGGCGCCAATGGGTTAATACAGCACATCATATGACGAACATTGATGTTGAATAATGTTAAAAAAAGCAAAAAACATGAAAGTTGGGAAAGAGATCATAACATTGCAAATGGGAGGTAAGAAGTATTGACACCTCACAAGTGTTTGAGTGGGCCAAGCATACATTATACACACCTGGGAGAATCAGCATTCACGTAAGCCTAATGCCTGGATTTTGGGCCATGTGGGTACAGTGAGGCACCCGGATCCAATAGGCTTAGCTTTATGCTATATATAATTTCCCTCTCAATCCCTTGTCCATTGTTGCCATGGGAGGCTTAAGAGACAGAGAATGAGGCTCCCTGATAGGGATCACTCCTATCTTGGGCCTCGACTCAACTTATTTAGCATAGTCTTCTCTTCTTTCCTTCTCCTTTTCCTTCCTTTCTCCAACCCCTCTTACTATCCACTTCCAATGGTGTGAGAGTTATGTTGAAAGGATGAACGGCCTTGGGGAGCCATTGACACGGTATTCGCCTGTGCCCCTCAAATGGACCCTGGGATGTGGATTTTTTCTCTCCATCTTTACCATTGCCAGTAATGAATATTTTGTGCCCCTATTAAGGGGAATGAAGCTTGCTTCTTTGTCAACTAGCCCCATTAATTTTGATTCCCTTGGTTCCCAGACTCCAGGCTCTCCTTTGACCACAACTCTGAACACTACTACTACTACCCCCTTTTCAATGCCTAGTATATCCTCAATCCATTAAGAATCATCTATCCAGGTCATTACTCAACCTCCAGAAAATCCTCTACTTCATCTCCTCCACCCCCACAGCTTTCTTCATCTACTACCCCCTCAACCATTATTACTTCTCTACAGCCTTATTATCTATCTCAGCGCTACTCCCTCTTCCACAAGGCCTCATCCTTCTACTACCCCACCTTTACAGATCTTTTGAGTACTCTGTTTAGCCCAGTCAAATGGGAGCATTTTTTAAAAACCATCTACAGCCTCTTACTCTAACAGCACTCTCCTCTTCCACCAGTGCCTCTAAAAACAAGTAGACAAAGTTTCCTTCTGCAGCTGCCCAGATCATTCACACTTTTTCACAGTTGCATCAACCCTGACTGACTTCACTGGCAAAACCATTCCTGCCAAGCCTAATCCTTCCCCCAATAACTGTACCAGAACTGTTTCAATCTATCTGACACACTGCCCTGTCTATGACAAGGATAGGTCAGATTTATGGAGAAGACTTACTTGCCTGCCTCATGGACTGTGATGCAGTATCATTACAATGCTACACCATTCCCTCTAGAGGCTGCCATAAATCCTTCACCAATATTGCCTAGATTACTTTCTGTAGACATGACCTCCCCATGGTGGAGAATACCTCGCTGACTTACCATATCAACCTTACCCCATCAATATCAGCATTGTTGGCATCTAGGTCACTCTGCCAAACACTACTGCTCCACAGTGTGATGCCCTCTATGTGCCCAAGCTGGTCATGATTGATCAAACTGCTGTGCACAGTCATGCATGTATGCCAATTGTGGTGGCTCTCATAATGTATTTTATAGGGGCTGCCTTGCCTACAAGTTTGACAGGAAGCAGGTTGATGTCTTTCTCTCACTCCCTACTCCAGCACTGCTCTTCACTTCACCCCTACCCCTTCCAACCAAGATGTTTCTATGTCCCCCCTGTATCTGTTCCTCCTTCATCTTATGTTTCCACTTCTACCCCCTTCCTCTCTCAAACAGATTCTTTTGCAATTTTAGATCCAGACATCCCAATCTCTACTACTGCCCCGACTCCTACCCCTTTCCCTCCTCTCTCTAACTATAGCTGACAATCTAAACATTCCACCCCATCTTCTACCACCCCCTCTTCTCCATCTACCACTTCCTCTCCTCTTCAGATGCCTATTTCCTCTTCTCCCCCTCATAAGAAAACCTTTATTTCTCAGACCTCCCCAAACAAATCCACTTCAGAAACTCTCAAAAGCATTCAAGACTATCTAATCTTGAACCAAGATAACATACCTACACCTCATCCAACCTCCAATCTCTCTGCTCTCATTCCCTCTACATTCAAAGTAAATGCCAAATACATCCTCCTCCTGTTCATCCCTTCTTCCCACTCCCACTCCCAACACATCCTATTCCCACCTGCTTCATCTAACCATCACCCTTTCCTTCCCCATTATCCCTTCTGTTGTTGTGACTCTGTCACAACAACCCCTTTTGTGGATTCTCTCACTCCTGACATCTCTCCTGAAACTGATCTAAACACCCTTAATCCCCTTTCTATGGACATCCTTGCAGAATCCCACACTTCTTCCTTTTGACAACTTTGATATAATCACCCTTGTTAATCCCTTTTTATCCTCACCTATATTTGCCCCTTTCAGTGCCATACTATCTTGAACTGTTATATGACTTTTGACGTGTAGCATATTTAATCATCAACCTACCCCCTCTTAACTCTTTTCACTACACCATTCTGTAGTGCTATATGATATTTCATGTCTAGCACATTTAATTGGCTTTATAACCATTAACCATTATGAAAATTTGGTAGGTTGATTTTGATAGCTCCATTCTGTAGGTTAATTAGACAAATCAATTTAATTTCTTTTAAGGTTCACCCTGAGCGTAACCTTAGTATGTGGAGAGGAGCGATGGGCATGGGGACGCCTGCTGGAGAAGCTGCAGCTAGCCATCTCGGAAAGGCCACAAGATCTTGCCGAATTAAATGTCACTGAGTGGACTCTGGCCCAGCTGAAGCTCAAGTTTAATCTTTAGAGTATTCACTCTGAAATCATACAGATGTTCATGTCTTATTTGCAATATTTATGTTCTGTACTTAAGAAAATGTTGCTGGAGTAGTTGGTAAGAGGTTACTTTTTTATGGATTTTCATCCCTTGAAATGAAGAGCTTTTCTGATTAACGTCAATTCATTTTGCTAGCAGTGAAAGGATGATCATATGTGGAATGGTACAGTATCTATTTATAACAGTTCAATTATGTGTGTAGTGTTTTGAAGGATAATGATATCTAGTGCAGTCGAAGTTCAAAAATCTATGTGTCACTTTGATTTCATATTTCAAGTATCCAACAACTTGTAACATTTAGGTTGTAGTTTGTAAATTTGCTCTTCAAAAAATCACTTATGCTTTTCTTGGCACACATTTTGTCAGTTTGTGTTGATTTGCCTTGTACAAAAATTACTCAGACTCTTTAGCTTAAACAAGTGTAAAATCTTAGGAATACCTTCCAAGATGAAAAAAGCTGTATGCTTTAGAGGAGGCATACTTTCCTGACTTTTAAGAATAAAAAAAGGGGGGAGATAAAAAAATGCTGTAAACACTAGGCAGAGTTGCTATGTGAATCTTTGCTGAATGATGTGTTATTAGATGGCTATGGATTTACTAAAGGGAGGCTATATCTATGAACACTTAGATGCAAACACTGCAGTGACACATTTATGGTTATTACATTCTGACTCTCAGATTTTTGAACTTTGAATGTTGTAAGAAGATCTTGGTTTTCTTATTTTTATAAACTTTATGTTTGATGAATAACATCATTGGAAGATTGTCTGAATAGTGACTTTTTCTACAAGACTGAATGTGTGAATGTTATTTGTAAGGGAAATAATTCATTGCATTTTCACATTCTTATACAAGATGAGGCTATATTCATATGTGTTTTGTCCTGATATATATTTTGTTGCATATTTTGTTATAAACTTTACCAACAATCAGACCTTGGATTTTCATGCAGAGAAACTGACCTAAATGTATAAGTAGTTGTGATAATAAGCAGTGGAAAAGAAGTACAGAGGCTTCCTGTGAACTGAATTAATAGGGCAGTGGTTCTTTATATATTTATCAAAACAATTTTTACTATTCAGATGACTACATAACTATATATACATGCTTAAAAGTCATGGAACTTTTGATCAGTTTTGTAGCAGGTATAATGTGAAAATGAGCACTGTTGAAATCTGAAAAAATTCATGAAAATTATATCTATTTTTAATAAAAGTCATGTAAATTCAGATATACCTACCATTATGAAAGTCATGTGAAATTAGAGACTTATGTACCATAAGTAAAAGTGATATGAAACAGAGATATAACTGCCATTAGGAGTACATGATGTCAATTGGAAAATATAAGTTTGTCATTTTAGTGAAGTTTCTCACCAGAACATAGTAGTGTCTCTCAACCATTGATAATTGAAAGGGATTAGATTCAGCTTTGATTGACACACTGGTGGAAAATGTTTTCATAGCTTTGGGATAAAAGCCAATGTTCACATTGGTAGAGAAGGAGATTCATATCACATTTATCTGACTTTAAAGCACATAGGAATAAAGGATAAACAAAGGAATCATATAGATGTTTATAAGAGCTACCCTGTCAACCCCGACCACTAAAAACAAACATCATCTCAACCACTGTTATAAGGGAATGATATCTATTATTTGTCTTTGGTAAAATAGCAAACTACTTGTAAACTCTAGTGTTATATTTGAGATATACAAGACTGCATGATTGACGACAGGGATAAACTGGGAACCATTTGCTTTCACACAAAGCCTTTACCAATGTGAAAATCATATACCTTTAGATCTATGTAAATTTTTTTGTCAAGTTAGTAGTTTTAATAATGTGAAAGTATTGTTAACATTGCTTCTACTTGTGTCAGTTTCTCATTCACATGCTTGGAAAGTCATGGTTAAGATGTAGATTTCTTTATAAACAGCCATTATATTCATGTCCTTTTGATGGTTGGTCATTGTTTATATTTCATACTGTGTATGAGATTTGGCCCAATCGTCCATCTTTTACATATCTTTCACCTTGATGTATTTTGAGTATGTTGTTCATCTTCATCACACTGGATTTCCATTGTTCTCTCTTTTCTCATTCTCACTCTGCCTCTTATGTATATTAGCTGCCATGTATAATAACAGATCCTTTGGTAATCTTTCTATTTTTGTGTTCAATACTGTGATCATTTCCATATTTAGTGGGATATTTTGATATCAAAGAAAAAAAGAATGTTTGAAACAAATTCATTAAGTAACAATAGCCAGGACCTGTTATAAACTTTTCATACCCTTGCTACACCTCATATGATGAAATCATATATTTTGGCAGTATTACACATAGTTATTTTTCTTAATGCAGTGTAAATGGGATTTGTGGGTAGACAGTACCAAAGAGTATTACATGACGAGGGTGACAGGCTGTAGGGATTTTGATGGTATTGCAAATCTGATGATGAATAAGTAATATTAAGTAGACTTTCACTAAAGAGTACTGGCTTCCATAGCATTTAATTTTAATGCATATTAGCATAGGTTGATAATAGCTAAATGTTGTGATGATACAGCCCATATAATACCATCTAATACTCAGAATGGGATATGTATATTTATTTCCCCATTGCACAAGTTAAAGACCATGGTCTTCTCACTAAAAGATTTTGCTTTATAGATGAAAGACGAAACTGCCTTGCACTTCCATTGTTATCACACATGACCCTAAAGCAAGACAAAATGGTTCAGCATTCAAATGGTTTGTTGAAATAGAGTGGAGGAAACCAAAACTTGTTCAAAGATTTGAAATTGATGTGGGAAATGATGATAAAATGACAGCACTTTAGTTATGAATACCTTTATAAAGTTTAGTAACCTATTGACAAGAAGTTTCATATGTAATGCCTGCTTTTTGCCACTTCAAAAATTGTTCTTATGTTTTCCAAGATCACTTCAGGCTTTTGCTTGATTGTGGAATAACCACAAATTTCAGTGACTCATTTTTTATTATGTGGATAATTATATATTCTTTGGTTTCTTTTTCATATTTATGTCACCCCACCCGTTGGACAAATATATAGATTATTGAAGATTGCCTTTGTAATGCTATTTCAACAATAATTTGTTCAACAATAAATTTCTTATATCACTTCTGTGCCAATTACATCTAGACCCAGTCTGATTTATTTTTATTATTTCTGTATCAAAGTTTGTTTTCTAGGATGTCAGAAAATTACATTTTTGAATCTAATGCATGTAACTTTTTTCATAAGTGATCACTCGGAAAAAGACACATTTCTTGTTTTTGGTGTCATTTCAGTATTATCAGCACAGTGCTTTTGTAATGTTTCTCACCACATTGACGATATAAAGTGGGCATTTTCTGCACTTGAGTACAATGAAGGAATGAATGGTTCTGTAATAAATGTAATACTATTTTTCAGTATTAATTCCATGAAGATGGAGCAATGCAAGAAAAAAAAGGTGTTTCTAGAATTATGGTATACTTTTCGATTTGTACATATGAAATTATAAATTTGACTTCTTTGATTTTTTTTTTTCGTTTTCTGTTTTACATTTGTTATGTAGTACCTTGTTTTAATTCTGTAAGATCTATAGAATTAGTCTGAATATGACCAGAGAAAGTGAACAGAATAGTACACTGCAGCCAAAGCAGGGATATATGTGTTGATATGTGGAACTACCTCTTTTACTTTCAGAGTTTGTTTAATGTTAAGTAAACTAAATACAAAACACCTTGCAAAATAGTGAGACTGTAAAACTTATGATGGTGTGAGAATTAAGGACTGTTCAAAAGATTAGTGAATCTTTTACTGCATTTTTCCTTCATTAAAGGACTTAATGTTTATTAATGCTTAAATATGTATTCTTTTGTTTTGTTTTAACCAAAGAGTGTGTTTGTGTTGCATTGAAGAGTTTTGTGCAGTAAGACTATCAAATGGAAAGCATTAGCTGTGTTTTGAGTAAATTATATAGTGCATGGATTTTGACTAGTTCTGTTAGAAATAAATGGATAGCATATGTTAATGAGTTTTTACTAATTTATTTTGATATAATGCGGTGGATTTTATACACACAATGTTTGAAATTTCATATGGGAAGAAATTTAAGATCTGATTACCCTAAACTAATTTTTTGTAGACATTTTGGTCATGTTTAATTACCAGAGCAGCAACCTAATTATGAGAGGAGTGAAATTAATAAATAAAATGCATTAATGGAACCACATCCCTGTGTAACCAGCATGGTAGATCTTTGAAACCTTATTACATGTTACCTGAATGATTAATTTGTCTGAAAGTCCACACAAATAAAATATATCTTCATCATATCTTTCTGTAACATGTGATACTTATTGATGCTTTTTTTTTTGCCCACAAATTAACAACCAGATCAAATGCTGTAGGATTCTAAAACAGGTAATTATATTTTACAATAGAAATTAACTGGTTCACCATATTTTTAAACTGATTCAGTTAACTATAAATATTATGTGCTAAATAAAAAAATGGTATTTGATAAAATCATCAAAATCTAAACTGTAGTTGATGAGAAGCTTGTTGTAAATTATCATTATGATATTAAAAGAAAAGAAATAAAGGGATTAAAAAGTTGAGATGTAGAGAAAGTTCATTCATGAGCAATGTGCCTTTGTCTCTTTAAGATGATTTTTTCCTCATTTTTCTTCTCTCCACATAAATTCACCTGTACTACCATTATGAACATTGATAAGACCTTGTATACAAAAATCGTAAAAGAAAATGGATGGTGCAAAGTAAAGAAAAAAGAACTGTTGACAATATAAGCCTTGACTAAATGTTAATGAATCTATCATACAGCTTACATTTCTGCCAAGTGAGTAGTATTTTTGTGGTAATTACAGAAAGCCAGATGTGATGCTATGATACCTTTGACAGTATTTTTTTGAGGAATATGCAGAAACTGGTAAATTTGTCAAGCTTTACCCTTGCCCTTGATATTAGCGAAAAAAATATATATAGAAAAATAAATAGTGTAAAAGAAAAAAAAAAGAAAAACATACTATAATATGTAGTATGGCAAATATTTCTCTTATGCCATTGTAACAATATTTTTACTTGCTGTTAATTGTAGAAGAGTGGTGTAATAGTTGGATAACACTAGTGAGAAATATACCCCAAACAAGAATATAACTATAAAGAGAACAAGTTACCATCAGCTGTCTTCTTGTTTAGTCCTTTGTCAGTTGGGGTCTTTAAACTTCCTAGAATGAATTGGCTACATAATATTTGTAGTATAATATCATCAACATTTTAGTATCTCTAGTGCAGTTTCAAAATAACAGTTTCCATTATTTTATAAGTGAATCTTCTTTAACTCATGGTGGAAGTCTGACTGGCTGATCTGAAGAATCTACAGAGAGAAAGGGCAAGGAAATAATACAAAAGAGAGATTCTTCTGCTTTGATGAAAAGAGTTAACAATGCTTCTCAGAACAAAATTATGTGTTACAATATCATCTTTAATATACAAGACTGTCTTTGAAATTAGAGAGCATCATAATCTAACCAAAAGGTGATCCAGTAGAGGGAAAGAAGCTGAAGGAGTCGTCGTTGGTTCCTCCCATCTTTAACCCATTGCACTATTATTAGTGTAAGCCTACACTAGGTAGACTTGATACGTTTCAAAGGACCAATAGGTCATCTTTGGGAATGGGATATTCAGCTCTGTCTACAAATATAGTAATAGTTTTATATATATTATATATATTATATATATATATATATATATATATATATATATATATTATATATATAATATTATATATATATATATATATATATATATATATATATATATATATATATATATATATATTATATATATAATATATATATGAACAAATGCAAGACAGATGCTCTACCACTGAGCTATATGGTTCTTTAAAAAGAGTGTGCAACCAGAAGTTATCTAGCTTCCATAGACATTACCTATCTACTTATACTTGAGTAAGGATAGTGAAGTTTTACACACACTCCCTGTGGGCACTCTTTAGATAGTGATAGAGTAGTTCAAATCCGAAATCAGAAGTACTGAGGTGTATTTTACGAAAGATGGAATAATGCACTACTCCATTGATATAATGAATAAATAACTCGAACCTTCGTCATTGCAGGCAGGTAGCTGCAGGACA